TTTAGTTGTTCACTGTTTTTGTGTGCAATTCTAATAACAACCACAATATTATTTAAACATACATAGTGATACCATCTTTCAACATCTAATATTTACATCTAGCTCAGTGTTGGTGAACATTTTCTGCACTGTATGCCGAAACAGGAGCACGCATGTGCATACATGTGCCCATGTGCCGGAAACTGGAAGAGGAGCCAGTTACTGGCACTGGCCACCTGGTCTTCCAGTTTCTAGCATGAATGTACACACAGGGGCCAGTTGGCTGGCACAAATGCACATTCCAGAAACCAGAAGAGTGTCACTGAAGCTCCCCTCCAGCCCGCCACTGAGAACAAGTCATCATATCCCCCTCCCATCCCTTCTGCCAAGGGAGTGCGCCCACTTCCTGCCAGTGTGCCTCTTACCTCAGCCCCAGACAGATGTTCCTCTGGTGTGGACTGAGCTCCTATACAGCCCTGCCACCCCAGGAGAGCAGCAATGGCAGTGGCAGGGCAAGGGGCAGGAGCTACCAGCCAGCCGGGGGTGAGGGTGGTTCTCACACTGCTGCTTGTAGCTGGCATGCTGGAGGAGAACCGCTGCTGCCTCCTTGGTCACAGCCAGCCAGTTGTTCCTGGCTGGAAGTAGCACTGTGAGAACCTCCGCCACCTCCTCGCCTGCCACTTCTGTCAAGGGAGCATGACTGCTACGGCGCTGGACAGATGTTTCTTCGGAGTGGATTCAGTTCCTGTGCAGCCCTGCCACCCCAAGAGAGCAGCAGCGGCAACACCAGGGTGGATGGTAGGAGTGACCAGCCAGCCAGTGGCGAGGGGGCAGCGATAGTTTCTCCAGCATCCCGGCTGCAAGCGGCAGCATGAGAACAGCCTTCACTCCTGGCCAGCCAATAGCTCTTGCCCATTGTCCTGCTGCTGCTGCTGCTGCTGCTGCTGCTGCTGCTGCTGCTGCTGCTGCTGCTGCTGCTGCTGCTGCTGCTACTCTTCTGGGATACCCGAGCTGGCCAGGCTCTCCATGGATGCATGTCAGTACCATGGGCTGGAGGGCTGGGGCCATGCAAGAAGCTCGCTCGGGCAGGGAGGGAGGAAAGTCCTGGCCCACCTGTCATGGTTGACAGCTCTCTCCTCTAGGAAGCTACCACTGAGATCCCCTCTCTGCGTCTTTGGGCATACAAGCTGGTCTTCATGTGCGTATCCATACCAGAAACCAGGCCAGGTGGCTGGCACACATGCACATGCTGGAAATCGGAAGATCATCTTCCTGGCACGTGCATGCACCCCTGGCAGCTGCTCTTTCAGTTTCTGGTGCTCCCGCACATATGAAAACCAGCTGGCTGGTGTGCCAGAATCCGAAGAGCAATTGGTGCATGCCCGGAGAAATCGCTCTGCATGACACTTCTGGCACATGTACCATAGGTTCATCAACACAGATCTAGCTATTACTTTTAGTATATTATATAAAAATATGTATAGTGATATTGCTCCTTGATCTTGTTTCTACCTCTATTTTAGCTCTCAATAAAGCCAATCTTATATTAAACAGCATTTCCTTTCTAACCATCATTTCTTGCCCGCTTTATATTTCAATTCTTATTCGTTTTTTGACTTGCCTCCCAAACACCTTCTTTGGGTCTTTGTCTGTCTACACCTTTCCTATTTAACACAAATATTTCTTCCATCTCTACTATCTTTTGCTGCCATACATCTGGAGTATCTTCTCTTCAAAAATATCTTTCTTTTTATCCAATCCCATTTTTGATCTCTTAATATCTATTTGATTCATAAGTCTTTATTGTCTTTTCCTTCTTCTCTTCTTGTTTTATTTGTTGATCTATCTGTTCTGTCTCTTCGTCTGGTCTTTCTATTATCTCCTCTATTTCCTGTGTTTTATGTTCTTCATTCATTGCTCCTTATTGAACATTTTCTGATTTCCCTACAATGTTATGCATTAACACTTTTATCTCCCTGTGGTTCTTTATCAACATATCATAAGTATTTCAGAGCATCAACACAATTTCTTTTTGAAATCCACTCATCTCCCCTTGAATCAACATGTTGTCTTATTTTGACAGTTACAAATATAGCTCATTAGTCTATTGTAGTCTGTCACCACCCAAAGCCTCAATTGTCTATGACTTCAGAAAGCCATCTTAGAAACCATTTGGTTAATCCTAGCATTGCTCTTCAGGGGAATAAAATAGTTATAGTTCTTTGTGTCCCAGAGTTAGTCAATTAGTTCCATTTAAGTAATCCAGGAAGATTTCCAAATGTCTCCTTAAGTCAACTCTGTAACTTCAGTCATAGATTTTAGGATTTAAAGTAGCTTTCTTTAGATGTCTTCCATAAATAATCTCACAGTTAATCCTTCAATAACCATGACATAGATAGATATAGAACAGTAGAGAGCACAGCAGTCCTCCAGATGTTATACATTTTCACTCCCCCCCTTATCAGTACTTTCCAAGGTTGTAGGAGTTTAGTATATATTCCATTCAACAGTAGATGACTCCTTTAGCTTAAATTTCAATGTTGCACAAAATCTGATAAATATTTATTTCAGGGGTGGGATTTTTTTGCAAATAGTCAATATTCAGAAATAATTCCAGCATATTAAAATGCCTTACCAAAATATTGCCAATAAAGTTTAAAAATCCAATTTTTCTATCTTTTAATGATTTTGCACTCTCCCTTTAATTCCATTTCTTTCAGGTCTATAATTTTTCTCTCTGTAATTATTCACAGCTGTGACAAGCATTTCAAAGAGTCTCTTTTCCAAGGTTTATTTTCTTTGGAGTTAGGTTCTAGGTAAAAAAAGAATCCTCTCACCTAGTTCCAATCACTGTACACCTCTAGCACGTTCTTTGTTTCTTTGGCTGCCACAGCTTCACAGCAACCATAATGGCTGCCTCTCCTTTTTGTCATTGGATGGGAGGAAATCCCTGGGTCCATCTGGAGAGCTGCCACTTCTGCGACCTGCAGGGTAGCCCTCCTTTCTTTGTCAACCCTACAGGGTGATTTTAGCCTTTGGGGGACCCTCCAACAAGGACAATTCACAGGAGTTCATGGAGCCCCACTCCTTGTGTTCAATCATGCCATGATGTCCACCCGGAATTTCTAAGCTATCTGTTTTTGAAACTTCCATTAAAGATGAAGGGAGTTGAGACATCCATTAAAAATGTCTGAATATTAATGTGATATTTCTTAAAGTTTTGAATGAGGACTAGAGAAGCCCAAGTTGAAATCTACTCTCAACCATAGAAGCTTATGAATGACTTTGGGCTTCGCAGCCCAACATTTCCTAACGTGTTGTTGTTGAGAGAAAAATTGAAATCTTAACCTGTCCTGGACATAGAAATCTGACAGACAGATATATTAATTGATAAAATATACAGAAAATTACATTTATTCATCTGCAATTTCTGTAAATTGCTAGCACTCAGATATTATAGAATATATCTGAGAATATATAATAACAGAGTTGAGACTTGGAGGACTTCTAGTCCAACTCCCTACATCACTTCAGACAAATGTTTATCCAACATCAAGTGTTGAAGGATTCACAACTTCTGGAAGCAAGTTGTTCACTATGTCTGTAACAGTGCTGGGTTTCTGCCAGTTCACATCGGCTTGGGAGAACTGGATGGTGAAATTTACCGATCCGGTGAGAGGAGATTCAACCGGTGGACCAGGAAGTAACTTTCGGAACGCCTGCCTTGGCCCTGTCGCTCGCTCACTTGCTCACTCCCGTCTGTCCGGAAGTCGCTCCATTACTCACTCCCCCCACCGATCCGCACTATCCTAGCCCAATTCGGTGTCAAGTCCCATACCTGGGAGTGGAGGTGGTGGAGAAGCATGGAGAGGTCCAGCGGCACAATCCACCAGACAGCAGCAGCAAGCTCAGGAGTTTTCTCCTGGATTCTTCTCTGTCCTGCCTCCTCTGATCTCCCAAAGTTCTTTACACAGCATGTGATAGCTTTCTACTGGATTCCCCTCTGTCCTGCTTCCTCCAATCTCCCAAAGTTCTTTCCCCAGTGTGTGTTAGCTTTCTCCTGGATTCCCCTCTGTCCTGCCTCCTCCGATCTCCCAAAGTTCTTTCCCCAACATGTGATAGCTTTCTACTGGATTCCCCTCTGTCCTGCCTTCTCTGATCTCACAAAGTTCTTTCTTCAGCATGTGATAGCTTTCTACTGGATTGCTCTCTGTCCTGCCTTCTCCAATCTCCCTAATTTCAGCCCTTAATCCTCCAGTTGTCTATTTTTGGGAGGTTTTCCCCTCACCACAGTCCAGGCCTTCCGCACAGCCCTTAAGACCTGGCTAGCCCGTCAGGCCTGGGGACAAAGATAATTGCCCCCACCCGAATGATGAATGAATGTTGCTTATTATTTTACTTTATGTATTGTATGTGTTACTGTTTGTATATCCCTTCCCCTCATTTTATGTAAGCCGCCCTGAGTCCCCTCAGGGAAAAGNGATTTAATGGAATGCCATTATATAGTTTTACTTTAAATGTAGAATATTTCATATAAAAGGAAGTAAAAACAATTATAGTCAAAGGTTGAGGTACAATAACAGTAAAAATATGTGATTTGATATAAATTGCAAGTGATGACTATGGAAGGGATGCACAGAAATTTTGTAACCAAATGACACATTTTCTATAATTTGTAATGGAAGATGGTTTTATGTTTCTTGTTTTTTGTTCTGTTCATTTGTATTTGTTTAAAAATAAAAAAACATATTTTTTTAAAAAAGAACTGGTAATAAAAAAGTTGAATCCCATCACTATTGAAATCCAACTCTTACTGTTAAAAGTGTAATAATGAAACCAATACAATGCAGACTATAGATAAACCTGGAAAGAGGGCTTGTTACTGTCTATTGTATGAAAACTTTGAGTTTATTATTAATCTCCTCTGTTTGAAGAGATGAGTGTATCAAATTGAAAATTTGATTTCTATCTGCCTGATAGAAAAAGTACCAAAAAAATCAGTTTATATTACTGACACTCACAGGATTGCTTGCCTTTGTGAGGACATGTACTGGGATTGGTTGCCACAGGAGTTCAGGATTCCAGATCTGATCACCAATAGGAGGGAACATACCAGCAAGATTTGCTTGGGCACTCATTATGGTTCGATCAATTTCAGTGCTTTGGATTAAGATCTAAGAGAAATAAAAGGCAATTGTGTTACAACTTAATATATTTTTTCCTGAATTTTGCATGCCCAAGTAGAGATAAGAGTTAAGCCTGAGTGTGATGGAGAATATCCCGTGGAAATAGAGATGTGGTAGAGAGACAACAGTGTTTTCTTTGTAGCTAGTGTATTTCTTTAGTTTAATGTGCATACTTTAATAAGGTGCACTTTGCAATATATACTGTTTATTTCTTCCACTGAGTGTTCTTGTTTATATGTATGATTACACATTTTGTGAGTAGTTATGCCCTTTCTTGGAGCATTTTATGGAAATTTACAGGGTGAGAACTTAACAGTTCAAATATATACCAATTCAGAAAAAAAAGAATTGTGGGAATAATTGCAGAGACCTGCTCCCACAGGATGTGCCGTAGTGCACATGAAACAATGAAAGCGCATGGGATGTGGAAAACAGGATACATGACTCATAAAAGTAACTGGCCATAGCCAGCTCTGGCCCTAATTGATAACATTGTATGCTAATGAGTGTAATAAGAGTAAAAGGGAGTTTCAGACTCTGTTCTGAGCTCTCATCCCGAGACATCTTGCCTGCGTGTCTTATTCCTCATGAGAGACCACCACACGTGGTGACCCCGATGTGATCCTGTGCTGACAGATACGTCCCTGCTAACCCTCTGCTTACCGCCTGGAATAGGCTTGGTGCACCTGACGACGTCGCTGGCGACTGACTCAAATTTGTAAGTATGGGGGGTGGAATGTCTGCAGCTCAGAAAGTGAATGTTGAAGAGCTTAGGCAATTAGGCAGAAAAAAATATTTAAGCACCCAAGACCGTAAAACTACCAAGCCTCTCTCTAAATCAGAGGCTGAAAAATTGCTTGCCTACGTTTGGGCTAACTGTCCATCTTATCCNACATGACTGCCAAGCCACGCCCACAAAATAGGCCACACCCACAGAATAGGTTCTAAAAAAATTGAAACCCACCACTGGTCTATAGGTATGATAAAAGGTATATAGGAAACATGTATAGTTTATCTTTCGGTATCAAAATTCTGAATCCTTGATGTTTTGAGCAACATATGACTAGAATTAGATAAAACTCTTTAATGTGCTTGTTCTCACCTCCTCTCTGTTGTAACCCGCACTCAGAAAATCTGAATATCTCTTCTTTATGTATTGTCCAAGCTCATACTGCTGCTGCATCCCAATCTATGGAAAAACAATATAGCCATGAGTTACTTAAAAAGGAAAATGCATTTTCCAGTTTGCATGATCTAAGTAATAGCCATACCATAAGCTTTTACAGGTAATCGTCAACTTATGACCACAACTGAGCCCCACATTTATTTTGCTAAGCGAGACAGTTAAGTAAGTTTTGCCCCATTTTACGACCATTCTTGCCACATTTGTTAAGTGAATCACTGCAGTTGTTGTTAAATGTGAAAAACAGTTATAAGTCACTTTTTAAATGCCCTTGTAACTTCAAGCAATCATTAAATAAACTGTTGTAATTTATAAAGCTCCATACTCAGCCTTGTAATATTGATACAACAGTTTACCAAGATAGTAATATGCTGTCCTGACTCTTATTGCATCTCTGGATAATTCATTAAAGTTGTGACTACATTGGATTTTTTACCAGCTGATAAAAAGTCAATGGCATGTATTATTATTCTTTATTTGAAAGTACCTCAATGTGGAATCTGCCAATGACTAGTTAAACTAGTCTAGTCGCATAGTCATACTTCCCCAAAAATGATGTATTCTGATTTTATTTTAGACTACAGTATTCCAAACAAAAGTCTTCTATTCTATGGAAAGTAGATTCTTTACATGTCCTCTTCAACACATAATAGCTGATTTGGAACTGGTTCTATTTTGATTATGTCCCATCAAATTGTTTTTAACTCCTAGCAGCCACAAAGATATACAGGTGAAACTCAAAAAATTGGAATATCGTGCAAAAGTTCATTTATTTCAGTAATGCAATTTAAAAGGTGAAACTAATATATGAGATAGACTCAAAGCAAAGCCATAATCATCACTATTATGACAAATCATGGCTTGAACTATTTTGCTTTGCATGTAATGAGCCTATCTCATATCATATATTAGTTTCACGTTTTAAGTTGCATTACTGAAATAAATGAACTTTTGCACGATATTCCAATTTTTCGAGTTTCACCTGTATTTTCTCTATTGTAATCTATTCTTAATCTGTTATTTCAAGTCTCCTAATGGGGTACTCATTCCAACTGTAACTGAGCCCATCCACCAAATATTCATTGCAGAATATTTTTTTCTATATGCATTTTTGGGAAACCGGGAAAGAAAATTTTAAAATCATCAATTGTTATATGCATTGATGGGGATAAGTGGGTTGATGTATGCAAAGGGCTGCAGCAATGGTGGGAAAATAGAAAGGAATGGTAAATTGAATGATATCAAGAATAAAATTGTAGTGCCAAATTGTACCAATAGTCATTGCATCTTGCCCTTGTGGTGAAGAACATTCCATCTGATTCAGGAGTGGGTTTCAATTTTTGTTACTATTGGTTCTGTGGGTGTGGCTTATTTTGTGGGTGTGGCTTTGTGGTCATGTGACTGGGTGGATGTGGCCAACTTGTGAAATGTGGTGAAACTCACTTAACAATGCTCTTGCTTAGCAACCAATATTTTGGGCTCAATTGTGGTCATAAGTTCTCTCTCCTCCCTCCGTCCCTCCTTTCCTCTTTCTTTCTTTCTTTCTTTCTTTCTTTTTTTCTTTTTCTCTGTCCTTCCTTCCTTCCTTCATCCATTCCTTCCTTGTCTTTCTCTCTCCCTTCCCCTTTCTTTCTTTCTTTCTTTCTTTCTTTCTTTCTTTCTTTCTTTTTCTTTCTCACTTTCTCTTTCTCTCTCTTTCTCTTTCTCTTTCTTTCTTTGTCTCTTTCTCTCTGTTTCTCCCTTCCTTCTTTCTTTCTCTTTCTCTTACTCTTTCTTTCCAAAGGGACACTATTGGTGGACCTAACTAGTTTTTATGCACCATAAAATATATGGCACCTTACAAAGTTGATCCACCAACTGAGCAATGGACACTTCACTGCTGTGAAAAAAATATTCCTTGTATTTACATAATATTCCACTTTTATAGTCTTTATAAACATATTTATTTCCATAAGAGAAGAAGGAAATCAGCTGGCAGAAGTGGGCTGCATTGTTAATAAGAGGGGACAGCCAGCTTTACCTTTCCTTTTCATCCAAAGCTGGTGAAATAGTGGTTATTCTGAATTGGTGACAGAAAAGGATGAAGTGAGGGGCCAATATTTTTGTCTCTTGTATCCATGCAATATAAAGGCATTATTATGGGTGCCTTATTTGTCTGGATAACAAGAACAGCTTGAGAGGAACAGAGACATTTTATCAACCCAGGTATTCTATCAGGTATAATACTGTTTGGACAGAGTTAGCTAGCTAGATAAATAGAGATAGATGATAGATGATAGATAGATAGATAGATAGATAGATAGATAGATAGATAGATAGATAGATAGAAAGGAGGGAGGGAGGGAGGGAGGGAGGGAGGGAGGGAGTTCCATCTTCTGAATCCATTTTCCAGCATGGGAAATATTCTTCGAAATTTTAAATACCTAAAGGCAAGGTATTCACCAAACTGGACTTGAGAGAGGTGTATTACCACATACAAATTAGCGAGGGAGATGAGTGGAAGACTGCTTTTAGTCAGCTTTGAATTCAAAGTCAGGCCATTTGGACTACAAGGAGCACCCACAATCTTCATGCAGTACATAAATGAGGTGCTACATGAGCACCTGTACTATGGAGTGTTCATTTATCTCAATGACATCTTGATCTTTTCTGAAACCCTGGAAAAACACATGAAGCTGGTATGGGAAGTCCTGGAAAAACGTCTAGCCGCCAAGCTATATGCAAAGTTTCAAAGTGTAAGTTCCACAAAACCTCACTAGATTATCTGGATTATCGCATCTTCAACAAGGGGATAGAAATGGATCCAGGAAAAGTGAAAGCTGTGTTAGACTGAAAACCTCCAAGTACTTGCAGACAACTAAAGAGATTTCTTGGATTTGCAATTTCTACAGGCAGTTCATTTCGGCTTTCTCAGAGATTGCCCTCCCATTGACTGAGCTATTAAAAATGGGACCTTCTCCGATAAAGCCAAAAGCAAACCAAACCCTAAAGTGGACACTAAACTGTCAAAAAGCCTTTGAGAAATTAAAACAGCTCTTTGCTCAATAGCCTATACTGCAACACCCTGACTCAGAATGACAATTCATAATCCAGATGGATGCCAGTGACGTAGCTGTAACTGCGGTGCTACTGCAAAAGAATAAAGAAGATGTGCACTTACTTCTCCAAAAAACTCACCACTACTGAAAGGAGGTGGGAAATTTTGGAGAAAGAGGTGTATGAGATCAGGTGCTCACTGCTCACTTGGAGACATTTCCTGGAAGGGGTGTGTGCCGTTTGAGATCTGGACTGACCATAAAAACCTCAAAGCTCTCAAAGCCCATCAAAGACTGGGCACAATATTTCCAAAGGTTCCAATTCGAACTGAAACATATCCCGGCAGGGAAGAACGTGCTGGCAGTTGCCTTGTCAAGAAAACCACAGTATGACAGTAAGAAGGAAGAAGTGGTTCACCCCCATCCTTTCTTCCTTTCTCCAAAAGGTGTCCCAGGTCACCACCCGAAGGCAGGGTAAACTGATAACAGCAATGAAATTGGTGTTCCCAGCAGACCCGTGGCTTAACATTAACAAGGACATCCTAATGATGAAGGATGGCTTAGCCTGGAAGGTGTCCAAACTGTATGTCCCTGCAGGGTTGAGGCTGGAAGTTCTACAGCGAAGCCATGATGTGAAAATAGGAGGCCACTTTGGATTCCTAAAAACACTCCACCTTGCCAGGAGCCAATTTTAGTGGCCAAAGATGAAATTGGAAGTGGAAAATTACATTAAAAACTATGCTACTTGCGCAATGATGAAACCACTGCTGGAGAAGTCCCCTTGACAACTACAACAAATGGCTGTAGGGTTATTACAATGCATCATCTGGATGGTTCTTAGAACTGTGGTTACACGTGTAAGTACAAACTTCAGCAATTCTTTGCTTGTCAGCAATTCTTTACTTGCAGAGTTTCCCAGGCATGAACAAGGACACGGGATGATACAATGTATAACCTGTAACATTTACTCATTTGAATGTATAACACTTGATTCTTTCAGTGTGTGAGAACATGCACATTCTCACGAACACCAATGATGTAATTACTAACCAATTACTGTGCCTTGGAGACTTGTTAACCAATATTGTAATAACATGTAAAGTAAGTGAGAACTAAGAATCTGAGAAACTATAAAACTCTTGTCTGATGCTCTATAAAGTTGCTGTTGATTCTGCTATCCATGGAATCCTTAGTAAACTGCTGTTGATTCTGCTGTTGATTCTGGATACTTAATAAACTTCTGTTGGTTCAGCTATCCATGGATTGGTTTATTTTCATTCATCTTCAGCCTCAGGAACCAATTTTGGCACCTGGAACAGGGACCCATATTTTGTCCAGCAAGGATAGACGCGTCGTTAGCCATAGGGCTTCTCAACCTTATCTCTCAAGGTTTCTGTAAGTATGTGATCCTTGCTTTCTCAGGAACAAAGGAAGCACGTAAATGAGTTGGGTTATCTTCTTAAAAAGTCTGAATTATCTGTTTCACAGAATGCTCTTTTTAGGCTGGTACGAGAACTTGCTTTAACTTGTTCTTTCTATCCTGAAAGGGGTTCTTTGAAGTTATCAGATTGGGAAAAAATTGGCAAGGCTGTTTCAACACATGGCTGGAGATGACTAAAGCAACACCCACTAGCTGACCAGATGATTGGAGCCTCCCAGACCAACTTACGAAGACGAACGCGAGTCCACCCTAGCTTTAGCTTAATAAATTGGAACTTTGAACAATACTTTGCCTTGGGTTCTGATTTAACTTTGGATGTTATTTGGAACCCTGACAATGTTAACATTATAGAAACATTAGTTGTTATAGCCATCATCTTATATCCAGAAAGGCTCCTGAGATCTCTCTCCTCCCCCCCCCCCCACTCTCTCTCACACACACCTGGCCTGGGCACATAGACGGAGCTCTCCTGTGCAGCTCTCCTGCATACAGCTTGCCTTAGCTCTCCACCATCCCAGAACTGCACCGCACTGGGGAGTTCTACGGGGACAGGCCTGGCAGCAGCATTGTGGCAGAGCTTGCTTTAGCTGTCGCCTATCCCGGAACTGCGCCACACCAGGGAGTTCTTTGTTGATGCACCTGGCAGTGGTGGTAGAGCTTGCCTTAGCTATCTGCCATCCCAGAACTGTGCCGCACTGGGGAACTCTGTGCCGATATGCCCACCAGCAGTGGCAGCAGAGCTTTCTTTAACTCTCCACCATCACGAAACTGTGCCATACCGGGTAGTTCTATGCTGCTGTGCCTGGCAGTGGTGGCGACAACAAAACTTGCCTTAGCTCTCTGTCATCATGGAACTTGGCCATACAGGACCAGCAATACAGTGGGATGATGTTTCTTTCTTTCAGCTGTGGGAAAAGGAAGAAAGTGCTCCAGGAAGGCAGGCAGTGCACATGTCACCTGCCCTCTTGGAGCACTTTCTTCCTTCTCCCACCACCAAAAGAAAGAATATCCCACTGTCCTTAGGTGTCACCATGGTTGATCCGGCTGGGGGAATGGACCCCTGAAGGCAGGGTATGTTCTGTTGGTGCTGCTGCTGCCACCAGACACATCCACACTGGAGGACTTCCCAGCACTGTGCAGTTCTGGGACAACGGGATATTCTTTTGGCAGCGAGAAAAGGAAGAAAGTGCTTCAGGAGAGCAGGCAAGTGGCGAATGTCCCGGGGCTGCTGCACATATGCACTGCCTGACCTCCTGCCCCTGAAAGAAAGAATATCTCACTATCCCAGAACTGCACCATGCAGGACCTGCAGGACAGCAGGATGTTATTTCTTTTGGCATCGGGAGAAGGAAGAAAGTGCTTTGGGAGGGCAAGCGGACATCCAGGAGCTGCTGCACATGTGCCCACCACATTTATGCAAAGGTTGAAACCTCCCCACCCACTGCAAGGCAATCCAAAGAGGGGATTGGATGCTGCAGAAAAGGCTGCCTTCCATCTGGAACCGTAGAGCTTTGGACTCCCAAACAGCCCACTGGCTTTCCACCTGGCCAGCTGCCTGCTGTTCTCATCCGCCTGCCGGTGCTACTCCAGGAACTCAACCTGTGGAGTCTGGCACTTTGGGGGGAAGGAGACCCAGCCACAGCCCATTCCCTGCATGAGGGGATGCCTCCCACCTGCTTGTCAGCAGCTTCTGCCTCTTCTCCACTTCTTCACCGGTAGTAAGCACTGCTGTGGCCAAGAAGCAGGTAGGTGGCTGGATGGAAAGCCAGTGGGCTGCTTTGGAGCCCAAAGTCCCATGGAACTGGCATGAGAGGCACGCGGGCCCGGGTGGAAGGCAGCCTCTTCGGCAGCATGCCCATCTCCTCTTTGGACCGCCCTGCAGCAGGGGGATCTGCCTTGTAGAAATAGAGTGAATGCATGTACAGCAGCCCTTGGATGTTCACTTGCCCTTCTGCAGCATTGCCTCCACCGCCACCACCCCTCTCAATCCCAGCACAATGTCTGCATTTCCACCAAGAGCCCTCCACCTACCCACTGGCCAGGCTGGGCTGGATGCCAACCTCAGAAGAAAAGCGGGCATGGGGGACCACTGGTAAGGCCACATGGAAGGCAGGGAACCATGGCAAGGCCACAGGGAAGGGAATAGGCTGCTTGCTTCCTTCCCCACAGTCCTGCCATGCTTCCCTGTTTTTTACCCAGCTTTCTGCTTGCCTGCCTTCGCAAACTGGCTACAGGGATGCCGAGAAGGCCACGTAGAAGGCAGGCAAACATGGCAGGGCCACAGGGAAGCATGCAGGGGCAGCTAGCTAAGCTGCTACTTGCAGGCTTACCTGGCAGACAAATCAGGGGCGCAGCTCTTCAGGCAGGCAAACTGCAGAGCAGAGACTGGGCGGGGCAAGCAAGCAGCAACTGGGGGACTGGTTCGGGGGCACGGCCAGGCCGCCATTACTACCGGTTCAGAAAGGTATGCCATATTTTTACTAGCTGTTTGGGCGAACCGGACCAAACTGGTAGGAACCCACCTCTGATCTGATTTAAAGGACATTTTTTAATGTGTTGTGTAAAGTTGTGTAAAGTCTCACTCATGCCAGTCAGAGGTGGGTTGCTCCCAGTTCAGCTCCGCCCACTCACCCAGACACTTCTGTGCATGCACAGAAGCATTGCACACATGTGTGAGTGCACATGAGTGAACTGGTAGTAAAAAAATGGAAACCCACCACTGACTCCAGTCAAGACTTTTTGCAAATTAGTCAATACCAATTGCTTCTAAATCACAAAGAAATTAAATGACTTTCAAGAGGCAATCCTGACCAGACTTTTGACCTGTGCAAAAAGCTTCCAATTTTCTTCATAACGGAGACCTTTGCATGCCTGGCATACATGCTGAATACATGCAATGAGAAGTAGCTCATGCAATGTACTTTACTTGCCAACATATTTTGGAAACTTAATGAAGTTACTAAATCTTTGCAGTGGAAAGAAACAATCATATTCACAGTGAGATACAAAATAACATCATTGAAAACTAGACTTAATTTTTGGATTGAATATGTGAATGAGAAAATTTTTGAATGCTTTCATCTCCTGGTCCAGTTTTTGAGAAAAATACAAGCTGAAAATCAAAACTAATTCTCAACATCCAGCTTGAAAGTCTAGGGTCATTTCAGCTCTGAAAAACGTATTGTTTATTGAATACATAGCATAAGAATAAGGTAAAACTAACTCTGAATTTCTAAGACACCAGTTAAACAATTAAACAATGAATTTCCCAGCCTAATCCCCAGGCTTCCATGTAGAACATGTAAACAAATCATATTTGTTGTGGGAACCATCTCCTGCTTCATACTTGTTGATATGACCTTGAAAAGTTTCGTGTCTCGCAAGCTCCCATGGAACTGCAGAAGTTTCATTTCTCCAAATTAATCTATTCATAGTCAACATCCCCCTCCCTTACTCTAATGACAGGTTGAAATGAAGAGGCACATAGCTGTCCATGTTTCACTCCTGGACACTAATGTGCACAAAAACATTTATGAGCATTTAATGAACCTCATGAAATATCTATCAGAATACTTCCCAAACGTTAACTGAAATATTGAGTGGGGGGGAAAAAATCCATTTGTCAACCAAAATAAACTTCACATCTTGCTTAATTCAGTGTTTTTAAAACAAAATTTGAATCTATGCCACTGAATGACTTTTGGATGGGACTGATAAATATATACCCATCAGTAGCAAAAAAGCTATCTGAGCTCTGCTTCCCTCCTTTCCCATTCACCTATCAATGTGAATCGGGTTTCAGCTTATGCTTATACCAAAAATAAATTTAGGCATAAATTGCTTAAATTACATATTTAACTGTTAGACATTAAGCCCAATTTCCAGACTATTTTGGGTACAAAAATGAAACCATTTCATTTGTCACAATGGATGCAAATCCAATGTTTTTTTGCACAAAAATAAATGTTTGTGGCTATATCCAATTTTTTCTTGTACCAAAATAAAGGTTTGCAGTTATATTTAAAATGTTTTCTCTTTATTTCCAAACCTATTGCAAAACATTCAAGCAATAGAAGTAGGTGAATGAAGGAAAAACATTGTGGTTAACAATGCTTACTGGAACTCAAGAATAGAGTTATAGAGAGGAATAGAGTTAGGATGATGCATACGTGCATCATTGTGCCTACCGTCTGTGTCCTATTGTCCCCATTTATTTGTACCCATTTAATTCATTCTTATGTTTATTCTTATACCTATTATTTTGTAAATGATTGACAAATCAAATACATACATCAAATAAATAAATAATCAGAGGGCAAAAAATATTTCATTGGGGGAAAAGGGATTGTCTTCTAAGCAGGAGTTAAAATCAGCAGGTTCTGACAGGTTCTGGAGAATAGATAGTGGAAATTTTGAGTAGCTTGGAGAACTGGCAAATACCACCTCTGGCTGGCCCCAGAGTGGGGTGGGAATGGAGATTTTGCAATATCCTTTCCCTGGAGTGGGGTGAATGGAGATTTTGCAGTATCCTTCCTTGGCCACCCCAACCAAGCCACCCCCACAGAACCAGTAGTAAAAAAAATTGAATTTCACCAATGCTTCTGTTCCATGATCAAAAAAGTTTGTAAAATACTGATCTAGCTATGTCTTAAAACATTCATATTTGGAAAGATGCTCAATTCCTCAGTAAGATGTTGAGTATCATCTGACCTGTGGGTCACATTATTTGACACTATATTATCAATCATTTTGTATTTTACCCATGTAGTTTCTTGGTAAAAATACAGGAATTATTTAGCATTGCCTTCTCCTGCACAGTATGAATTAATCAAGATGCCTCTGACATCTTCCTGTATCATGCTGTCAAAATTGATGTTTGCTGGTTTTAGTTGGGCAGGTGGCATGACAAAAAGATAGATGGGCAGAGAATAGATAGATGGGTGGACAGACAGATGGACAGATATATTTTTATTGAATTCGGCTATATTATCCTGGCTTAATCTTAATTCTTCTCTCTTGGAGAAAAGGTTAGATTTCTCTGTTAGTCTCAGAATGTATTAATTTGGGGCTAATTCTTTATACCGTTTTATTCATCTGAGATCAAAATTTGAAAATATGAGTTTATGTTGTAAAAAAAAATCTGAATTTTGTCCTAATTCTTTTTCACTTTAAACAAACTGTAACAGAACAATAAATACTGAGGAGGAATTCTAAGAGTTGGCATCAAATGTATCTTAAATGTACAGTGCTGGAGAAGGTTATGTAATCGTTACATGCTAATCAATAAAAGTTAATTATAAATCACATCCCTTTATTATATGTATTATTTATTGTCTTTACTATTATAGAAAACAACACACCTTAGTCAGTTGCCCAAATCCCTGTGGCCATTCACTTTCACTGTGTAAGCCATTGGGATAGTTTTCAATCGGACTTCTATCTCCATGTCGATAAATCTAGGGAGAAAAATTATAAGACTATATCACTTTATATTTTTTTCATTCTAAGCCTTTTGATATATTTTTAATTCTCTCTCTCTCACACACATACACTTATACATGGTGCGGGGACAGAGAAAGAAAGAGAGAGCCCACCTTGGTTTATATTAATATAATATAAATATTATATTATGTTATATTAACATATTATAAATAAGCACAAACATCAGCCAGTACTGAGCACCAACCAGCAAAGGAAAGCTCAAGACCATATTGGTTTGGAAACATGCAGAAGATCTACTTCATCCTGCAGTGCACAGACAATGGCTAGGATGATGTTGATGATCATGAGTATAAAAAAAGGATATGAAGAAACATTTAAACAAGCATGCATATGAAATTTATTATTTTGATTAAATATCACTCATAAATAACTTCAACACAATATATATATAAGAAAAAGGTAGACGAATGCATGAAAAAATATCAAAATAATTTTATAATCTTTTAATTTGAAATCTATAACCTATATATCTTTCCTTACTAGATACTTTTAACTTATTTTAGATCTTAGGCTACATTATTACTGAAACAATTCTATTATTATGATTGGATATACAGTCAGCTGGATGTTTAAACTGGATTTGACATTTTTGTCTATCTTCCTGAGATACTTGGGATAATGTAAACTCTTCCAAGTAAAGTGCCTTTCGCAACCAAACCTCTGGAGTACCACTTGAACCTCATTGGCCTTGACTAGCAAACTATTGGCCAATTGCAAAATGCAAATTCCTTCCTTCCTTCCTTCCTTCCTTCCTTCCTTCCTTCCTTCCTTCCTTCCTTCCTTCCTTCCTTCCTTCCTTCNTGATCCATCCAGCAAAGCTTCAATTTAACAGATGGCCTCTACCAAAGACCCCTTGAATGGGAGATGACTGCAATGCCATTTTCAGGGCTCCCCCCATTCCAATGAAATAATATGACAAACTAGCAATGCCCTCCAGAAAAAGATATGACACTGTCCAGCTTGAAGGGACTGACTGTCTGATGGAAGTTGACACAGGGTCGGCCACGTTCATCATATCCTGGAGCACCATAAAATGAATTATACCTCAACTGTCCAAAAGAAGTTTACAAGCCTGCAACTTGACCCTAAGAGATTACCAGGGAAACAACATCCCTATCATTGGAAATGGCAAGTTTAGGGTTAAGTACAAGGGTTTTATTGGACCTTTGATCGTCATAGAAGGAAACCTGCCAAGCCTCCCTGGCCTCAATTGGTTTGAATCTTTGGGCCTCAAGATCAGCGGAATCAGCCACATCCAAAATGTAGACCTGGACATCCTAGAACAGGAATTCCCCTCCATTTTTGACGGCAAGCTGGATGCTTACACAGGAATGTCTGTTTCTTTTAACCTGGATTCCAAAGTAGAATCTATTTGCCTGAAACCATGGTGCGTCCCTTTCATGCTTAAAGCAAAGGTAGACGCTGAGCTGGATAAACTAATTGCAAGGAATACTGGAACTGGTGGACCATTGGGAGACCCCCATAGTCACCTCCATCAAGCCAGATGGATACATTCGCATCTGTGTGGACTATTAGTGTATGCTCAACTGTGCCCTGCCAACCAATGCCTACCCAGTACCCATAGTGCAGCATATGCTGCACTCGTTTGGTGCAGGGACCATTTTAGCAAAGTTGGACCTGGGGCAAGCCTAACAGCAACTTCTGGTAGATGACGAGATGGGAGAGGCCCAAACAATCATCACAGACAGAGGGGCATTTAGATGTCGCCGCCTCCAGTTTAGAGTCAGTGTCACTCCCGGCCTATTTAGAGCTTGATAGAAAGACTGTTACAAAGGATCCCTGGAGTTTTCCCTTATTTTGATGACATCCTCATCTCTGTGACCAACCAATCCAATCTTATGGTCAGTATCCGCTCAGTGCTCCACCATTTCCAGCAAGTAGGCCTCAAGGCAAAGAAGGAGCAGTGCTATGTAGTGGTCTCCTAGTGGAGTTTCTGGAGTTTCTTATTGATGCCAAAGGGCTACACTGTACCACTACAGTGCCAAAACCAAAGCTATTCTAAATGTTCCAATGCCAACCAACAGGACCAAGGTCTCAGCATTCCTCAGGTTGCTGAACGTCTATGCCATTTTTCTCCCACACAAAGCCTCAGTACCTCATCTCCTGAATCAGCTGCTGGATAAGAAGACATCTTGGCCTTGGGGAAGGAAAGAAGCCAACACGTTCTGAATGATCAAACAGCTATTGGTGTCCAACACTGTACTCTCCCAATACAGCAAGAACCTACTTCTCATGTTGGCATGTGATATGTCCCCCTATGGAGTGGGGGTGGTGCTGAGCCACCAATTGCCAAATGGCCGGGAAGCTCCCATTGTGGTTTTTCAAGAACTTTGGCTACCACAGAATGCAACTATAGCCAATTGGACAAAGAAGTCCTGGCTATAGTTGCCAGCATAAACAGGTTTCTATGGCCAGAAATTACAAATTGTGATGGATCACAAGCTGCTTTTGGGATTGTTCACCGGTGACAAACAAACACTGCAGGTCCTGTCCCCACACACGATCAGATGGACTGTGTTCCTTGAGGCCTACAATTATGACCTGTCCTACAGACCAGGCAAGCACCTAAGCCATACTGATGCCTTGAGCCACTGCCCTCTCCTGGACACCATCAAAAACCCAGCCCCTACATCCCAGGTACCCCTGATTGAGCTATTTGCTGCTCATGGTTTGCCCAATCTATTGGTCTCAGACAATAGCCCCCAACTGACTTCTACTATTGGGGTTCCTGACAGGTCAGGGGATTTTTCATACCCTTACTTCACTGTTCCACCCGACCAGTAATGGCCTGGCAGAATGCATGGTCTGAACATCGAAGGAAGCCCTGTCCAAGATAGGCCCAGGGAATTGGCAGGAGAGGGTAGACCAGATCCTGCTAGCCCAACACAAGTCACCATGCCCACAAACAAACAAGAGTTCTGCCGAGCTCCTGATGAGAAGGCACCTGAGGACCCCACTAGATAAATTGCATCTAAGTTATTCCCCGGAGAAGCCCCTAGACTCCATGAGTTTGCCCTTGGAATTCAAATTAGGGGACCCCATATATGCAAAGAATTTTACAGAACATCCATCTGGCTAGGTAGTTGTGATAATTGGGCCATTTTCTTACAAGGTGGAGTTGTTGGATGGCCAACTCTGGAAACATCATCTTGATTAGCTCCGCAGCCATAGGGGCACGGCCACCCCCCCAACCTGACTGGGCCTCTCCAGAAACTCCACCCACCACAATATTGGCAGACGAGGCCTCCCATTGACTGTGACGATGGGCCTATCCTCCACATGAGAGCAGTGGATTCACCTGTAGAATTAGGCCGGGCTCTACCACCATCCTCTCCAGAAAAACCAAGCCGGGGTCTGAAGAGATCCAAGGGGCTCTGGCTCCCTATCTGCATTGCCCAAACACTGGAGCTGAACTGCAAATATCAGGGTGAGTCAGGTGATGCCCAGTATATCTGCAAGACTATGCATACATGAACGTGGTGGGAAGGACTGTCATGTTCTAAGTTCTCTGTCTGGTCCATTCCCTTAGTGGGAACAGTGCTGGAATCTGAGTGGTTGGCTGTCTAACAGCCGACTATAAAAGGGAGCTGTCAGGCAGGAGATCAATTGTTCGTTGCCTATCATTGGGCTTACGTTATGTTAGCGTTGTTGCTGGTTAGAAATAAATGTTAACTTATTATCCACCTGTCTTGCCTCAGTCTGTGACCAATTTATGGTTGAACTAAATGCATCCTCTTTTCCAAGTACCAGAACCAGTAGTGCTTTTCATGATATGACAAATTCTATTTTTAGATATATGTTTTGACATCACATTGAGATACTTAATTAGAAGTTTTCCTTCCAAAATTGGACTGACATATGCAATGCTTTAAAATCAAAACAAGGTTATAATTGCACAAGAATTTACTTTCCTCAGGAAATTTCCATTCAAGTGCTACATCTGTCAAAGAATCTAAAATAGCAGGTACATCGCAGACTGCCACAGCACCCAAACCATTACTGTTTAATCAATATATTTCAAGTGTAAATATTTCCAAGATATTATGAACGTAATATTCAACACATTGCTTTAAAATCTTTAAAGCATTAGAAATTAACCAATTTTTAAAAATTATTATTTACCAAATGTTCCAAATTTCATAATATTCAGATTCTTCTTTATCTTTTAATTTTAGTGTTAATTTGTCCATCACTGCACAATCCAAAAATTTTTGTATCACTAATTCTTCTGAGAGGATATTATTTTGTTTCCCGTATTGGGCAAATGCTATTCTAGCTGTAGTTAGCAGATGTGTTAATATGTACTTAATTTTCCTTGTATATTTCCCTTTGATTATTCCCAGCAGAAAGATATTTTGGGTTTGTATTTTATCTGTTCTCCTGTAATTTCTTGCACCCATTTCCAAATTTTTGTCCAATATTTTTGTGTTTCTGGGCAGGTCCACCATATGTGATAAAATGTCCCTTGCAATTTTTTGCATTTCTAGCAGGTCGGATTCAGGTTTGGATACATTTTAGCCAATCTTCTTGGTGATAAATGCCAACGATAAAACATTTTGTATATATTTTCTTTAAGTGCT